AGGAGGTGCAGCAGGTCCTCGTACGCTTGTCGCGTCTCGCGCGACCGCGGCCGGTACGAGTCCATGTCGTCTCCGAGACCGAGCACCGACTGCTTCGCCTCCTCGCGCCGGCTGCGCTTGGCGGCGGCGGCAGCATCGTCCTTCTTGCGCTTCGTCCCGGCGCCGCCCGTGTCGGGCTTCGCGTGCACTACCTTGTCACCGAATTTGGTGCCCGTCAGATAGTCCTTCAGGCTCTCCGGCTCGCCCGACGGCTCGTCGACGCGCGGGCGGTGGTCTCCGGTTGTCAGCACGAGGTTGGAGTTGGCGCGGTACTCATACTGCCGGTACTTCGATACCTGTTCCGCTCCGCGGGTCGAGTCGGTCATCCACGGGACGCTCAGCAGGCGCGGCGACGCTTCGCAGTCAGGTAGTGCGCGCAGACTGCAACAAAAAAAGAATTCTCCGTGTGCGCGTTGCGAGCCTGTCGTTGTGTCCCTTGTCAGGAGCAGGAGAGCCCCACCTGTGCCCCTGATCGTCCTTCCAAAAGCCTGCTCGTGCAGGTGGGGACCCTGTCCTCCTCCCCCATCCTTCGGACCCTGTGGGCCCTGTTTTCTTTCTTTCTTTCTTTGGCACAAAAAAGGCGCGGACTGGCGCGGACTGGTACACACACCAGCACACGAATGAAAAAAGAATGTCGTCGTGCGGCGCCGTCTCCAATATTCCCTTGGGCTGTCTGTTTTCTTACTTTCTTTACTGCATACTGGGCACGGGACTGGCACGCACCTTCGAGTGCCCCGCCGCAGTACAGACTGTGGGGCCGCAATATATAGTACATGCACATGCTGTGGGGCGCATGCCGCATCAGGGCGATGCGCATGCTGTACCGAGGGCATGGCGCATGCGCATCGTCCGTCGAGAAGGCAAAACGCCAAAGAGGCGGGCCCTCTTGTAAGGAGGGCCTTAAACCAGCACCTTTCGAGGCTCGCTCAGCCGGTCCGACCGGCCGGCCAGCAAGGTCAACCGCCAGCTGGTCGCCGCCAGGACCAGCGACAAGAGGAGCAGGTAGCACTGCCGTTGCCACGGCTGGACGCCGACAAGGCGGGTCAGGCCAAAGACGGCGGCGGCGCAGAGCATGGCCATCCGGTGGACGAGGGTATCGATTAACGGCCTCCCGAGCCAGAGCGTGTCGCTGTGCAGGTCGCAGTAGAGCGTGTCGAGCGCGGGCTTGGTGATCGTGTAATCGATGACCTTGCGCAGCGTGTCCAGCACGAGGAGGACTTCCAGTCCCGGGTGGACGATCGAGGCGATGAGCCCGGTGACCATAGTCCAGGGCATGACGGCGAGCAAGCCGCGGTAGCCGCACGTGCGCATGAGCCGCGCAAATAGCAGCAGCTGCACGGGCAACGTGACGCAGCCGTATGCCAGCTGGAGCTTCGCCACCGTTGCGACTCGCTCGACGTCGGACACGAATGCGGTGGTCAGGAGCTCGGAGCGCTCGAACCAAATGCCGTGGTAGATCATGATCGACACAAACTTGTAGCAGGCGAGCCAGCGCAGCGTAATGTTCCTCGCGATGATGCACGCGCCCCCAAACGCAGAGGAGCAGCACGCCTCCGCCCGCGCCGCGCTAGCCTCGCTTGCCGAGCTCGCGTCGTCCGGAGCATCGCAGTCAGCGCGGCCTCCACTGTCGTCACCACGGCCGTCGTGACTGCCGGCAGCGCGGCACGCTTCCCCCCCACTTCTGTCTTCACCCTCCCCGCGAGCGCACGCCGAGCGGCACCGCACCAGGTGCGTGGTGGCCTCGTACGTCGCGCACGCGACCAAAATAGTGGGGGGACCAAAGCGCTCAAATAGAAGCCCTGCCGCAACCGATCCCAGCACCAGCCCCGCCTGCTTGCCGAAGAAGATGATGCCGTACACCCGCTTTGCCTCCGGCCGCGTGTGCACCGACGCGAGGAACGAGTTGTAGAGCGCGGGCGGGTAGGTGGCGATGATGCCGCCGTAGACGGCCAGGCAGTAGGCCACCGCACGTCTGTGCGGCCATGCCGTGGCGAGGGCCTCCAAGGCGAGGAGCATCCCCGCCATGAGGCGATAGGCGATGCCGATGAGCTCCGTGGGCAGCATCCGGCGCTGGGCGTACTGATATAGAGGGTTCACGGCGAACATGAGGAGGGTCTGGCCGGCGGTGACGAACGGCAAAATATCCATCCCCAGGCTGAGCGCGACCACCTCGAGCAGCGGACTCGCAATGCCGTACGCAAAGATGACTGCACAGCCGCCGATTGCCGACAGCCTCAACGGGGCGACGTCAGAGGGATCGAGGTTGAAGGCGCTGCGCAGGCCCGCCTGGAAGGCCCCGTCCGGCCCGAGCGCCCGCAGCGACGGCCGCAAGTCGCTGCTCGGTTGCTCATGTCGCGATTGTGCATTTGCTAGAATTTGCTGCGCGGGGGACGGTCGCTGATTAAATTGGCAGTCAACGTCAAGTCGTCAACAAAACGAGCTGTTCGGGCGGGCGTGGCGGGGGCGCCCATGTTTCTTACGTAAGGGCTTGTGAGGTGAGTGTTAGGTAGGTAGGTAGAAAGGTGAAGAACAGTCAGGCTCGGACTGGACACCAGCGCGGTATGGGTGGACGCGGGACAGATGATGACGACACGCACGAGCGACACACAGACACAAAGTGTTATTAGATTCGCTCTCCGCCAGCGCGCGGGAAGAGCACTTTCGAGACCCCGCTGGAGCCCCCTCGAGCGAGCCCACGTTTGGATTGATTACGTCAGTAGTTACTCGAGAGTGAGTACGTGTGAACGTGTGCCCACAACGAAAAGATCGGACTTGACACCGAACAACGGAAAAAGAAAAAATACCTGTTGTCTCTATCAGCCCACTCCTCCCCCCAGGATTCGAGCTGTTTGGGGGGGAGGGTAGGGGTGGGGTGCCGGGTTTGGAGTAGGGGGGTAAGGGGTTGTCAGCGGCGAGGCCCGACGGAGGGTAGGGGGGTAGGGGGTGCCGGTGTGAGGTGCGTGTGGGCCGAACTGTGAATTACGCTACTGTGAATTACGTTACATCGCTCATAGGCGTCGGAGTTTATGCCGGGGTCGTTCGATCATCTCCACCAGTTGGAGGCCGATGGTTGCTGCCGCATTGTCTCGGCGGCCGACAAGCTCCAGCTCGTGCGCAGCTCGTGCAACGGCACCCTCGCATCGCGCATTGAGGAGCTCGACGTGGCGATGGCGCCTCACGTTGTCCGCATGATGGAAGGCCGCGCACCGCCGCTTGCTGCTTTGCGCGGAGATGGGCAAGACGTGAGCAAGCTTTTGGCGCTCAAGAAGGTCGCCGTCGCGCTCATGCGTCATGGCCCGAATCCACATACCACAACGACCGACGGCGGACCTGCCCGCTGCGTGGGCGGCGGGCGCGCGGAGGGGCAGCGTGAGGTGACGTTGCGACTTCTGGAGGCACCTGGGGGTAGGGCGTGCGCGGGCGCGCGGAGGGCGGCAGGGCGTGAGGTGACGGCGTGACGCTCCGCTGTCCGACAAAACTACCGTTACAGCAATCTGGAGACCTGTGAGTAGGGGGGTCGGGGGTAGCCGCTGTGCCTGGACACGTGTCGAGGGGTAGGGGGGTAGGGGGTAGCCCCTGGATCGGCACCCCAAAGGCCTTTGAAAAATCCGTCTTGTTCTTTCGCCTGCGGAAACGACCAGCTCTCCCATTCGTGTCCCCGCCCGCCGGTCTCATAAGAGTGTCACACCGGAAGCTCCGACGAGTTGCCACACCGCACCTCCAGTGGGGTCATGCGCACTGCACATCTTC